TCAAAAAAATAAATAAATAAATAAAACATACAATTTGTTTTAGTTTAATTACAATATGAGTAAAGTTTAGAGATCTTCATAATTTAAAATCTCAAATATGGTTTTACATAAAGTAGTAAATAATGATAAGTCCTTAAGTATTTATTACATATTAAGATTAAAAGTTATAGTAATACATAGATTTGCCACTACTTATCTAAGCATTATCTACCAAGCCTAAAGAAGAATGATGCAATAGCTCCACCATGAAAATAAGCTCTAAGGATGAAGAACTAAGTATTTGAGGAGGAAAAATACCAAGATAAAAACTTTTGATGAGTTATAAACTTAGTAAGTATAATACATTATAAAATACCATACAATTAAGATATATAAATAAATAAATAATAGAATAACTATATCTTATTATGTATACATGTACACATTATCTTAATTAATCAAGTCATAACTCAATGTTTATAGTACAAGTTTACAAGATCACTTAACATGTATAACTTGAATTATTTCTACCAAGTAAACCACTAAGCATATGCTCATATATAATCATACTTATGGAGTAACCAAGGTGAGCTAACCCATACATCCCCATTATCCTATCTCTCTTAAATACGGCACAACATTCATTAGAATGTGTCATCTTACTACGCAGATGGCACCTAAATATAAAATATCCACAAAGAATCCTCTTATATTTCAATTGGGTCATCTCTTTAAAATTGGAGCTAAGTTTATGATATAATATACCGCAAAGCATACCACAACAATATTCACATTTTGAATTCAAGTTCAACTTCTACATGCTCTTTTTCCACAACACAAAGTAGCAATCTCAAAACCAAAGAATATAATAATGTTAAAAAATCAAGAGTTCACTAAATACATAAAATGAATATTTTAGTTGATGACAATAATTACTTAGCAAATCATCTATACCAAGTGTCTTCATTATAATGCTAAATTAATGTTATGTTGTTAAAATATTGTAGCTCAAGTTTAACTCAAACAATTAGAAAACATTTTTTAAAAGATTTATTTTAAGTTAATAAACTTTATTTTAAAAATTTTATACATATATTATAAGTATAGGAGGGGAAATAAACTCAAAACTATACTTAATTAAGTGATTGAATAGTGTTTATGAATAGTACTCATGAATAGTAAAAAATACACAATTATTTTAACTAAGGTCAACCTCCACTAAACACCAAAGTTTCAAAATATGTAATTCCATCTTAAGTTGTCATTATCAATTTTAACTCTATAAAGTAGATTAACATGAGCATTATGATATTTTATATCTCACTAATTTTTAATATATCATAAAACTCATTTTAAGTTCCAATAATTCAATTAACAATGTTTATGACATTTAAATCAACATTGACATTAAATCAAGCTTTTAGGCAAAACTAGGAAATTCTCTAATTTAAATAGAAAAGAGGAAGAAATGGAGAACTGAGATGAAAGGAGAAAAAGAGGGGTGCCCCTTCTTCTAATACTCCTTTTTTGTCTTCTTTATTTCCAATGTTTACACTAAAAACAATATATAAGCCATATTCTGACTAAAAATACAATGCCAATATCTATCTCCAACTTCAAATTTAAAATTTCATAAACTTCAAAATTAAAAATAAATTAATTAAATTAAAATTCACTTATCAATTCATAAAATAAAAATGATAAATAAATAGGTCAAAACTATGAGCATCATATATGTCAAATCTAACGTAATCTAAGCAAACCCATTTCAAACTCTAGAATTTAGCTCATGAAATAACTTAAAATCTAGATCTCTTAGTAAAATACTTATAAACAATGACTTTAGGTCTGTGTGGAAAGGAGTCGGTCTCCTTAAGTAAAGTCTTGAGTTCAAGTATTGTGAATGGAAAAACATGCACTGAGAGAGTTTTTCCCCTTATGGAGTTTGACGTAGTTCGATTTTGTATTAGTTGATGTAACACCGCATATATTTTAGTGAATAAATTAGAAATTTGAGTCCTTTATTTTAATATTTTAGGGACTAAATTGATTAGATTTAGAATATGTGGACTTCATGTGAAATTATGAGATAGTTAAAGACTATCTAACTAAATTTGCCAACTTAGAAACATGTGGCAATTTAACACAATTCACTGTGACTTCTCTAAAAGGTTATAGAATTAAAAGACCTCATTTTTGCCTTAAGCCTTCCGAATCCAAACCATTTCCGTTGCACTTTTCTAGTTGGTCCCTACATCTCTCCTTCCAGCGTGCTCAAGCCACGAGGGACGCACTCTCCAATTGAATTCCCTCTCAATTTCTATTGTTTTCTTCAACTTGAGGCTTTGGTTTTCATGTAAGTATAAGTTTTAAGCTATGAATTTGGGTTAGAGTTTTTGGGGTAGATTATAGATTTGTTACAATAAACTGAAAATTAGTTTAAATTAATAAAATTGGACTCTAAATCCTTTGTTTATGAGATTTTGGGTATTAGAATTTTGTTTAGTAATTTTGGGTATATGTACGGTTTGAGATTTGAAGTGGGTTTTAGTTTTATGCTTGGAATCATGTGTGAAATTTACTAGTTATTTACTTGTTATAGCTGTTTTGATATTTTTTTGTACATTTATGTGAATACTTTTGGAAATTTCATAATTAAGCTTAATTGGAGGTGCTGCCCCTGACTAATGTGCTTAGTTTTGGTTGATTAATTATGCATTAATTTTTATTGTTAAAATAAGAAAACAATTCTAAATTTTAGTGGGTGAAACCATGAATAAATATTAGGAATTTAAAGTGAATTGCTTTAATTGCATTTACTTAATTGGATGATTAAATGTTATGTTTTGTATGTCTTAACCATGAGGTTAAGTTATGTGAATTATGTGGAAAATTTAAATGGATTAATGGATGGAATTTTATTCCTACATTATTTTTGGATGTGTTTTGAATTTCTTTAACATGTGCATGTGTTTGTGGCTATTGAGTAAGTGGACCTAAGCTTAAAGCTTTGGATATTCAGTGGACCTAAACTTAAAACTTGGGATATTTAGTGGATCCTTTGGGGTATTCAATGAACCCTTCGAGGTATTCAGTGGACCTCTGCGCAAAAGGGTGAGTGTCGTGATTAGCTTCTCCGGTACAAGTGTTGCTAGCATACATCAGTGGACTCCATAGTATTATGTGATTTTTGGTTTTATGCATTGTACTTGTGACATCACATTCGTGAGCATAAGATTTTCTAATATGGATTGATTCAAATGTCATTGGTTATTTCTAGATATGTTTGATTATTTATGAGTTAAATTGGTGATATTAAATTATTATTTAAATACTGAAATTTATAATATTATACGATTTAATTTGATTATCTGTTATGCTTTTCATATGTTTAGGTCTAAGGGTCTTAGGACCCAAGTTTGTAGTTTTAACTTATATTTACTGGGTTTTTTAGCTCATGATATTCTCCCCCAATTTCATATTAGTAGATTGGAGTTGCAACCACTCAGCTTGAGAGCTTTCGGTATAAATCTTGTATGCTGATCTCAGTGCTTTTGATGTGAAGGTGGATAAATGTATTACCAAAACGATAATTTTTCTTTTATTATTTTAGAAAGTATTTTGAAAAGCAGTTGTCACATGTATTTTTTTGCATAAATTACTTATATATATGACGTTAAGATTAACTTAAATAAGTATAACTTGACTTATTTTATAACTTTGAGCAATTTGATGTTTTCTTTAAGATATTTTTTATTAAATTAATTTTCCTTTATAGGTAATTGATTTCTTTCCACAAAAGTAAAAATTATTTGAAAGTGGGTTTTTCTCATAAGAAAACATTTTATATTAGAAGAGTTTTTACTTCGACCATAATCTTTTTTCTTTAAATATTTCTTGCTGCTTTTTTTTTATCTTGTGCAATGTATTTTCCTACTTGATAAATCAAAATGTTTATCAAAAAGAGGATGTTACAATCGAGACCCAATATGGTTTTCAAAAACCAAGAGGTTAGTGTCAAAAAAAAAAAAAAAAAGCTTTAAAACGTTAAAAACATTGAAAAAGCACCTCCTTTTGCTATATATTGGAAGTTGGAAGAGAAAAGCTACAAAGGGAAAGCATCCATGGGGGTGATGGGTTTCCTTCGCCAAAAACCAGAATTTGTCTAGTTCATCTGCTTTTCTTCCCTCTTTTCATCTGTTTAGTCACTATATTTACAAAATTGCTATTAAAGAAAGGCTTTATTTGACTAATTTTTGACTCAAGCTTAATTACCCTAAAACAAACTAAATATTATAATATATTTTATGTCATAAAATGTCATTTTCTAAGTTTTGATATGTAAAATGACCAAAATACCCTTATTATACTTTATACTAATTAATAAACCTTTTTAACCAACTTAAGGTATAACTATTACTATTTAACTATAAAAATTAATCCATAATACCATGGCCTTGTCCAGACCTAAATTTCATTATTTTTTACCTAAGAAACTCAACTTTGCTTAAATAGACACTTTAGACCCCAAATTTTCATTCTAAGCATTAAAAAACAATTAAGGGTAAATTTGACATTAAGAAAATTACGAGGCATTACATGGATTAAAAGATAAAATATGGTTGTTTTCTATTGTGTAACCCAAGATAGAATGATAAAACCTATTATTATTATTATTATTATTGTTATTATTGTTATTATTATTATTACTCCTCTATTTTTTTAATAATTTTAATTTGATTTTTTAATTTTTTTATAAATGAATTTCAGATAAAAATTTAATATATTATATAAATAATAATGAAATTTTTTTTAAACAGGTTAAAGTAATTAACAAGATTCATATAGGAAGTAAAAGCTTTTTAATTATTGTTTATATAAATTATTAAATTTTTATGTGAAATTTTTGTTAAAAACCTGTAAAATCAAATTAAATTTATTAAAGATAAAGAGATTATTATTATTATTATTATTTTTTTTTTTATAAGTGAAGATTACCGTGATACTGAGCTGCCGATGGAATGGTGAGCGGCTAAGATGACGCTGAATTTTGCAGCAATGGCTGTACCCTTCGGATGCAAGCCTCTTCTGAGGCCCATGTGCTTAGCTTCCAACGTCAACACGGAGGACCTCCGTTCCCAACTCGACCAACTCCATGCCGAAGCAGAGACCACCCGAGCCAAAGGTCTTCTTGCCCCCAAATTCCGATTAAAATCCATAATACCCATTTGTACCAATTAATTGTTGATTGAAGTTGTTTCCTGTTGTTGATTCAGCAAGCAATGCTAGATTGAGACTTTTGCGCTTGTCAGAAGCCGCTGAGAAGCTCCGGCGGCAGGCTTCTATTAGTGTCCAGAAGGGAATGGAAAATGATGCGAGGGAACTGCTTTTTCAGAAGAAGAAAGTTATGCAAGCTTTGGACAAGTCCAAGAGTCGCATTGAGGTGTTGGACAAGCTTTCTGCAAAGCTTAATGAGGTAAAAATCATATTCTTCCCTATTTATATGGGATAGATGTATATATGTATATTGAGTTTCAAAGTTGCTTGTTTCAATCTATATAAAATATATTTTAAAAGATTTTGGAAATATTTACTTATTTTGCTCCTTTTTCTAGTCAAGGATAACTTATACTCTGTTTCTTGCATGTATACTGTGCTTGTGCATAAAACTTGTTGTCTGGAAATCTTCATAAGGTGTGGAGGAGTAAGAATTTGGATGAAAATTACTTTGAATACATTATAATCGTTCCAGTTTGGTTCCATCTTGTCGGATTTCCCTTTTTTTTTCTTTTTTTCTTTTTTTTTCTTTTTTTTATATTTAGTTATGTTTATTTGATTTTACCATGCTTTTGCACTAAGTGTTGGCATAAACTTACTTCCATCTTTAATCAAGAACAACGTCTGCAAGAAGAGTTGACTGATAAATCTGCTTTCTTGCAGGCAATATCTGCTAAAGAAACCCAATTGATTGAGAGTATTGCTTCAGATCTTGAAGGCAGTGGAGAAGATGTATCCAACCCAATTCGGATCATATCTCCACAGCCAAAGGTTTCAAAAGATGAAAATAAAGATACTGAATTTGGCTGCAATGACTTGATCATCAGCAAAGATCAAAATGTGAAATTCTACCAAGATGGACAGCTGAACCAAACTGTTGATGAGGAGTTGGCAGAGGGTAAAGCATCTTCAATTGCCACCCCTTACAATGAAGATAACATGATCAGTAGCTCAACAACAGTATCCTCCTGTGAGGACTTCTTGGAACATTTAGATCAGCAGCTCCAGAAAATTGAACAAGAACTTATTGCAATTTTAAATGTTTCTACATTGGTGCTGGATAATGGGGAGAAGCCAAAAAATTTGAAGGTTCAGCAAACAACGGAGCTTCTTGATGGTATTCTTCACTTAAGACAGAGGTATTAGTTTTTTTAGTATTAATCAGATTTAAAGTCGGTGATACTTTGGTCCCTTTCCCCTTTTCTCTTTTCCCAACTCTAAAAAGAATGAGAATAACAGCTTAAGCATATTATATCTTTCATTCTTAATGTGTTTCTAAAATTTGTGTCTTCACAGAATCACAAATATCAGGCAGACAAAGATTCAAACCAGTTAAGGCTTCCCTATATCGCAGTCAGGTTTCTGCTGCCAGACTAGCATATTATTTTAACTTTTAGTGTCATTTATTTGTATTGAATATTTTATTCGAAAAAATAATTCTCAAGATGAAGTGCAAATGAGCTTTTGGCTGGATAAATTCAATGGAACACAGGAGCAAAGAATGTTATGTTTAATTTCAAAATAAGTTTCTTCCTTACAATAAAACACTGGTTAGATGTCAGAGGAACTCTGAAAGCAGTTAGTTGACCAAGTACCTTGTGCTTGTATTCTTTGTTAAACTGCCATTAATATTGTCAGTATGCAAGATCCTCAAACAATTAAGAACAGTAAAAATCTGTATAATCTGAGTAACTTCCAAAGCATACATGAGTGTAATAGCATTAACTTCAGCAAATTGGAGGTTAAGAGCTTGCACAACTGACCTCAACTAGTGCGTTACCTGATTCAGTTGGGTTGAGTCCCTGACTAGAGTATGTCTTGTATGCATCTTAGATTTTAGCTCTTTTACTTGGGATAATGGCCATGAATTAAAGTTGAGTCTTATTCTGCAATCTAAGTATCTAAAATGAGTGTTTTTTTTTTTTTTTTCCATAAAAGGGAAAACAGCAAATTTCTTCATGTTTTACTTTAATAAACTTCCATTTCTAGCTGAACAGGATGCTTCCCTCATTTTCAGAAGTATATATTTGGTTCTTCATTTCTGTTATTATTTAGGTCTACACTAAATGGATGAAGAGCACTCCAAACTGCTTGAAATTTAATTCATCAATCTTCCTCTGAGATTTGACTAAAGCTAAAGTTCCTTAACAGTATTTCTTACTGTCCAGTATGAAATATTGAGTTGTCATTAAATTTGAGAACGATTAGGGAGACATCATTTTAGAAGTGGCTTTTCACACGTTTTTGGCTCAGTGGCATATGCTGCTTGGTTATTGAGGGACACCCCCCCTTGGTTGATGGTTCGAGCCCTTTCCTTTCCCTTTGGTTTCTAATAGGTGTTGTGAACTTGTAATTGTCCTCTTCCAAAGAAAGGAAAAAAGAAGTAGCTTTTCACGCAAGCAATGAAGTCTATTCTCTACAGTTTTCCAATGGGGTGATCATGTTACTTCTCTGAACCTATTAAAGCCTGAAAGATGACTGATTGCAGTCGACATGGTTTCATCATTCTGTTTATTATTTGTTTCATGTATCCTGTTTGTTTGTTTCATTTGTATTCTGTTCTTTTTCATTACTTTATTTTGATGAAGACACACTGTGACTGGGTAAAATTGCACTCATCAGGGAAAGATTAGATTACAAACATGAAGTTGCTTGAATTGAGGGAAATAGTTTATGGTTCTTCCATCAGAAAGGTTCCCTGGCATGACTTATTGACTATGTTGTAAATTTTTTGGACAAAATTGTAGAAACCTCTTGGTGGTTATATGCTTGGTCTTGTAATTCTCCCATTGTTAAGGTCATATATGTGATCCCTTCTCTTTGTCACACAGAAATCCAGAATGCGTTAGCAAAGCATCATTTAGTGAATGCTTTATTTTGTCAGGATATGAGGATAGACCCTAAAAGTGAGCTCTTATACTAGGGAGTAAAACAACTGCCTCGCTTTTTCATCATGAAACTGAAAAATTCATCAGTTTTTATTATGGTTTCCTGTTCAGTTGAAGAGATATGGAGTTAGGCAAATTCGATGGCAAGTTTTAATCAAGAATGACTCCTGCTTCTTTTCATGCTCAAATAAGAGTCTACATTGTAGTCAGTCACTATCCATGAGATCAGCAAGAGTAATTTTCCCGCATTTGCTACTGTCCAGTAAATCAAATTGGTTGCAGATCTGAATTATGTCTTTCTCTGCTATCTTTCCCATCTCCTTAAGCTTGTAGATTACAAACTCAGATTTACTGCAAAAGAATTTGAATTTTATCAGCATTGATATTAGAAAATTGAAGCAAACATATAGAACCCGGACAAGGAAAATGTAGTAACATGATAAAGGGAACTTCAATATCATAAAATTAGAATTATTACATTTAATCAAAGTTGACATGACTCCTTAAAGATGAGATTTAGTAGGGTGGATGGTTGTCTTGTATTTGGTCTGATAGAATTGTTATCTGATTCATTCTGATATAGAAATTTATGAATAAAATATAAAAACAATAACGTAGGGATTTGTTACCAATAACTATGAAACCTTGATATGGGGTCAAGGCCAAGGATTCCAAGTTCAAACTTCAAACCTCTATGATTGCTAAACGGCAAACTCCTGATGTACCAAAACCAAAAGTGAAATTTATGAATAATAGTTGCTTTCCTCCAGTTTGAATTTCTATATGGTAACAAATGGTAAAACAATATGTTAAGGGACACATTCTACTTTTATTTTTGTTTTCTCCTTTGTTCCTTCTGAAAGGAAAGTGTAGAAACTCTCTCTTTTACACTAGGACTCCTTATCATTAGAACATTTTAATTAAGTTGTGCAACATATTCATGCTTGATGCTTATAATCATACCGATTATCTCTCTACTAAAGATTTGAGTCTCCATCTGATCTCCTATGAAATTAGCCATTCATGTTTACTGATTTCCTTCTGCCAAAATGAAGCAATGTTCTATTCTTTTCCTTTATTCTAACCTATGTTTCATTTGTTTTCTCTTCACTGCCTTTGATTGCAAACACTAAGGTCACAACCCAACCTAACCCTTATATAGACCTACAATTAAGAGGGATAGTAGACTTTAGGAACAGTTATGATGTTAGGCTTTAAAGTAGCATTGGAACTAGATTGGATGATATTGAGCATTGGAACTGGATGGATGATTTTGAGCATGTTTGTGTATGCTCACCTTTTTTTTTTTTTTCTTTTTCAAACCTGCTTATACGCACATTTCAATTTCTGAAACAGAGGATGATAAGAATACATTACTTTGACATTTGTTTTGATCTGGAAGCTCAAGCTTGTCTCCACCTGTCAAGAGTCAAGACAAACTGTTGTGCAGGACTGGGAGCTGCAGGAGCTAAGGAGGTAAATACATTGTTATCCATGTCAGACTCATGTTGCCATAAGAGGAGGATATAATGTATTGGAGTCTTTGTAGCACAGAATTTTTTGGTAAATTCTTTCAAGAATTTTTGTGATGGAAAAGATTAATTAGCATTAGGTTCTTTGTGTCAATGCGTCTTCTTTTCTTTATTCTTCATTTTGTCTGTTGTTTAAAGGAGTGAAAATTTGGTTAAGCAAGCATTTCATAATCAACTAGTGTTTTCTTGGCTATCCGTTTAGTAGTTATGCCAAAACATCGGTGATGGCTGTTTAATCTCTTACAGGATGCTGCCAGAACGTCTTTTATAGTGTTTATAGTGATCATGGTGGTTGGCAGTGGTAGAAAGATAAGTATTTTATGAATGTTTTCAAGTTGCAAATCTTTCATTATTTATGCTTATAATCTTCCCAGAAGTTATATTTTTCTGGTTCCTCACCGCACTGTTATGGATGGACTAAATATTTCAGTGCTAATGTTTTTACATTCAGGTAATAGTCTTGTGTACAATCCTAGTTGTGAGGTTATTCTGCTTTTTCTTTTCTAGTGAGATTCTTGTCTTGGAAATGACATAAAATTTCTTTCTTTGAAGCCACAATAGAGCCTTAAGACTATTATCTGATTACTGCAGATGTTCCACGTCTTTTAAGTCATTAACATTTTGGTTATATCTTCTTTCCATTAAGTAATACTTACTTTTTCAGTATTTCAAATGCCTTCAACTTTTTTGTGAAAGTGACTGCCACCAAAAAAAAAAATAAAGGGAGAAAGAAAGAGAGAAAAAGAAAGAAAAAGAAGAATTGATAATTGCTTTTCCTAAACTTCTTCACCTGCAGAGATCTTCATTCTAATTTCCCTCAAGTGATGACAATTTAGTGGTATTTTTATGCCTAAGCATTGCCCTTTAACAATTTCTAATCCATAGATACTCTGTACATTTTGTTTCAGGGAATTCATGCCACTTGACACATATGATCTTGTCTACATTTCAGGACCTAATACTTTCAAGTGTTAGCAGTGCAGCTTCTGTTGTTTTGGTATTTTTATGCCTAAGCATTGCCCTCTGAACTATTTCCTGAACAAATCATAATTACTCAATTCATTATGCCAGGGTATTCTACTCTTCAGGGCCTTACTTTTTTGAGTGTTTTCAATGTAGCTTCTGTTGTTTTCTTATATTTCTCCCTTTTACATAATCTCCTATCATGCTAGTTTGCTAAATTAAAATTTCATTAAGCCCTTGATATTCTATATTGAATGAACACGCTCCTTCATGTTGTCTAACACAATAATCTAGTGAAAATTAATAATGAGCAGGTACCGGATGATCAAAAGTACCTGATGGATCCGTCATTGTCAAGGTCTGCAGCCACCAAATCTCCCAGTGTCATCTTCTTCTGAAGAACCCATTTTGCAATTCTTCGATTCCTCTTGTCAATCCTAAGCTCAGCCAAGTATAGAAAGGCCCTAGCAACAGCCAGTGTGCTCACTAATAGCCAGATAATTGCAAAACACCTTCCTGTTACTGTCTTGAAAGCATAATCCCCGTAACCCACGGTGGTGACTGATGTCACAGAGAGATAAAAGCTATCTACCCAATCCATGTCCTCCAGAAAATGCACCGTAATTGTCCCTATAGCAATGCAGCCAACCACAACAGCCAACGCCAAGAACACTTTCATTCTTATCCTCATTCTTCCTTTTGCCTTGTCTATCATGTATGTCTGAACCATTGTGTTGAACCGATTCTCATCTACTGTGCTCAGCAGAACTGACTCTTGTCTATCGCAGATGTATGTGACCAAGCCATTTAGCAGGATGTCAATGAAGCCAAAACCAACCAGTATAAAAGCACATGTGAAGAGCTTAGTGAATGTTGTGTCTGGAACAATGTCACCGTACCCAATGGTGCAGAGGGTAACCACAATGAAGTATACGGCATCTACAGGTTTGAAAGTCTCAGTACCCTTGAAACTTGCACTTGTCATAAATATAGCGATCCCAGTAATAATATACAAAACCAGACCAATGAAGGCTTGTCGGACAATGAAAGGGGTTGATTTTGGTGCCTCCCTTGGGTCTAAAGAATCATGAAAAGATTCCCTGACATCAGTAAAAACAGAGGGAGCAGAGTGGGATCGACGAGTTAGTTTTCTCCTTTTGTTGAGATTGGCGAGGAGGTTGACATAGGAGGATCTGGGAGTTGGGAGAATGGGAATAATAACGTCACTGGTGATGAGATGCGCTGTTGATTGGCGTCCGGAAGGGCCAACATCGAGATAACCACACGGGAAATCTCTCCTTATCGCCAATTGTTTGCTGGAGTCTTCTTGTAATCCTGCTTTGGGAAGAAGATGTTCATCCATGCTGGTATTTCATGATATCAAATCACAATTCGTCGATAGCAGGTGGTGCATTAGTCGCACCTTTCCCGATTTCTGGAGAATTGGAATGAATTGGAAGAACAGCACGAGAACAACTAGTCAAATCCATTTACTGAGACAGGCTTTGGTATGGACGGTAGCTTATCTAACGGTCATATGTCAATTATAGTAGTTGGGGCAACCTTATTATTCACTTCCTTGGGATTTCGGTTGCTGATTGCTTGTCTCCCTCTCCTATTTGTTAGGAGTAAAGGAGCATATCTATTTATTTATTTAATTTTTTTTAAGGTATAAGGGTTTCCCGTCTGAGTTTCAGTTGTGGGTTCCTAGGGTTCTAATATTGAAGAGCAAGAAAAATTGGGAAGAAATAATTAAGCATGTACTCGAGTTTATGAGTATTCAACAAATTCAAGGTTCTTCACAACCTCAAGTAAATGAATATTTAACAAATTCAAGGTTCTTCACAACCTCAAGTAAATGAATATTT